CTGCCCCCGGCGGGAGCAGGGAAGACAGGCAGTGGCGACAGGCAGTGGCAGACCTGTAGAAGCCTGAGTGAGGAGGAAGCCCTGAGCCGCAGCCCTCCCTCCCCTGCTCCAGCCGCTCTCCCATCCCCCTCCCAGCTCCCTGCTCTCAAGGTCTCACCTCTCCTCTCAGGTTGTCCCTAGGCCTAGGGCGCATTCTTCTTCCTGTCACCTGTTAAAGCAGCCACCTCTCAGCTCCCCTGTCCTACCCTGACCTTTGCTACCCAGGGAGCTTCGCCTCATTCTTCCCACGCCCTCCCATTTTCCCTTCGTCGCACACCCTCTCCTTGCCCGTTGCCTGAACCTCTGTCACCGCGTGCACCTCCCTGTCCCTGTAGCCAGGTAGATGCCCAGCACCCCTGCAGCCAGCACGGCTTACGTAAATCTCACGACGGCCTTCCTGGGAGCTGCCACTCTTTTTGTTTCTGTTTTTGTTTTTTGTTGTTCTTTTTCTTGATAGCATATGCAGGCACGTGAGACACAGAGACAGAGACAGACAGCAGGGTCTCGTCACGCCGTCATGGCCCTTCCCCAGCCCTGCAGCTGCTCAGGTTCCCAGGCACCTGCTGGGTGTTCACGCCAACCTGAGTCCACATCTCAGTCGATCATGGCTTCCAGCCTTGCAGGACAACTGGCTACCGCTGAGCCACAGCGGGTGCTGGTCGTCCTTTCGGTGCCTTCGTGGGGAAGGAGGTGCCATTCTTGTCCTTGTACCAGGAAAACAAGGAAACTGAGGCTCGACGTGACCAAGGAAGGCAGACGCGGGGACAGGCTCAGTAAAGGGTGGAGGGGGCACTCGCAGCCAGGGGCCGGGCTCCATAGCACAAGCTCTTCCCCTCCACGGTAGTCTCCCACTCCCAGACAGTGAAATCTGCAGACATGCCATGCCTCCTTCATCCCTCTGCCCCCAGCCCAGCCCTGAGCCGTCGTGGTGGGAGACCCAGGCAGGGCCTGTATCTGACGAGGGCAGCAGTGCTGAGCTGGCCTGGCCCGGAGCCCGGCTGAGCTTTGTTCGCTGAGCCCCAGGTTTGGGCTTCCTCCCCTGCAGGGCGTCACTGAGGGCTACAATGGCACCATCTTTGCCTACGGCCAGACGGGCAGCGGAAAGTCCTTCACCATGCAGGGCCTGCCAGACCCACCTTCCCAGAGAGGCATCATCCCCAGGGCCTTCGAGCACATTTTCGAGAGCGTCCAGGTATGGGCCTCGTGGAGGGAGTGGACAGGGCTGGCACCACCCGTGGTCCCTAGCACACTTCTGAGTGCGCGGTCCAGAGGACGCGGTCAGGGTCCTGCCTTGACTTGGCTGATCAGCAGAGGCAGGCTGTGGTTCCTGGAAAATGGTTGGAGAACTTAAAATAGCAAATTCTGCCTACCAGTTCTATGTTTTTCTCCTGCTGTTCTTGGACTTTAACGCATCACTTAACATTTCACACGCGTAGGGTAACCCGAGTGCTGGGGTGAGAAGTGGTTGCAGCCATCACAGCTTCCTTGTTTACTGAGCAATTTCTCACTGAACTCCCAGACCAACCCCCCCACTGGCCAGACGAGAGACAGGTCCTACGGGCCTGGTCAAGATGGATCTCTGAACGGGCCCCAGTGTCTGGGCTGCAGCTGAGAACGTCCTGGTGGCCTTGAAGTCCTGCACCTGGGAAACAGGGTGGGGACTGTGGCTCTGGTCAGCTGCACCCACCATACCTGCGCCCAGCGCTCATTGTCATCCAGGGGGCTGGGAGAGCTGCCAGGGATCTTCCCAGAGCCAGTGCTTGGTCCCTGCCTTACCTGTGACCTTGGTCCCGTACCTGAATAACGGGGAGGCGACTGTGTCCTTTCCCTTGAGGCTTAGACTTGCGCAATCCCAGGAGGCCTGAAGGGCTACCAAGCTGCAGAGGAGGCAGGGAGCTTACCAGGAGGACAGGCGGGGCAAGGCAGGTTGGGACTCCTCTGGCCCTGGTGTCCCCCATCCTCTGATGTCCTGGCTGCAGAGGGCTCGGGTACCAGCGGCTTGTCTGGCAACTGGTGGGCTCGGTGCTCTGAGGTCTCTCTTCTTCCCGTTCCCTGCAGTGTGCAGAGAACACCAAGTTCCTGGTCCGGGCCTCCTACCTGGAGATCTACAATGAGGACGTCCGGGACCTGCTGGGGGCTGACACCAAGCAGAAGCTGGAGGTGAGGCTGACCGGAGGAGGAGGAATCTGGTGGTGCACCCTCAGGACTGTGGGGAGGCGGCCTGAAGGCACAGGCGTCGGTTCAGGCTGGAGTGGGACGTTTCCTTTTTTGTTTATTTCTTCCATAAGTGAGTGAGAGAGACAGAGGTACAGAGACAGACCCCCGTCGGGTCCTGATGCTGAAGTCTACCCCTAACCCCAGCCGGCCCTGGGTTCTGGGTGCAGGTGTGCCCGTTGTTCTCAGAGGTCCCCAGATGTGAACCTAGAACCTTCCGCAGTGGTTCAGCCTCACGGAGCACGGTGCTTTACCACTGTGCTACCGCTGGGCCCGAGGCGGGGACCTTGGGACCTATATTCTGGAGTATCCTCAGTCGGAGTCTGTGGGGTAGAGGAGGGGTTACTGAGTTTCCTCCACCGCAGGAGGGGAGGTGAAATCTCACCAGGAGCAATGCCAGCCATGTCTGTTGAAGGAGAGGTGTGTTTTTGTTTTTGTTTTCTCTTTTTTGGTTACTTTAAAGAGAGAGAATTTGGAACCAGTAGATGGTTTAATGGTTACATCACTGGACTCCCACATGGCCAACCACGGTTCGAGTCCTGGACTTGACAGCATAAAACTCATGCTGGGTGTATGTGTACCTATTCCCAAAATCCTGAGAGGAGAATGGAGGGGAGGAATTGCAGTGTGGCCATTCCCCCAGGGGGTGATTTCTCGCTTTCTGTCTCTCGTGAGTGCATGCACCATATAGCAAAAATCTCTCTAAAAAAAGGGAGAGAGACTGACTTGTGACGAGACTCACCATGCCACGATCCCCAGACTTCCAGCCAGCTGGGAGCATGAGCACACGTGACATGTTCAGGCTGAACTTGGGCCTTGCCCGGGGCCCTCACACAGCTCCAGCACTGCCCCGCGGCTTCCCACCACCTGCGCCATGGCCGCTGGACTGTCCGGGGTTCACACAGCTCCAGCACTGCCCCGCGACTTCCCACCACCTGTGCCATGGCCGCTGGACTACAACCGATGGGGTTTCCTGATAGATTCCATTTAAAAAAGGGTCCCACTTCAAAAATTTGTTTTGAAAATCTCTGAGGGTTAGACCAGCAGCTGGCATGGTGGTTAAGACACCTGGATCCCACATGGCTGGCTGAGTGGTTCAAGTCCCAGACCTGGTGGCTTGAAAGACATGCCCGTTACCTGAGCACATGTGATCAAAATCCCAAGAGGAGAATGGACGAGAAGGGATTGCGGTATGGTCATCCTCCCGAGGCGTGATTTCTCACTTTCTCTCTCTTTCTCTGCCTCTCTCTGGCAAGCACACACTCCCTATAGCAAAAATAACTAAAAAGAAAAAAGAAAGAAAGAGGACCCTTCAAGCTGAAAGAGCGTAATTGAGCACTTACTACTTACTGGCTTCTTTAGGCCCAGTGTCCCATTTAATGCTGTCAGGTATTGTCATCTGATGAACGAAGTGGGGAGGAAGGCTTCGAGAAGTTAACTTGTCCATGTTTCACACTTCAGTGAGTGGTTGAGGCTGGATTTGATCCTAGGTCTGCTCTACTTCAAGGTCCTGGATCTCAAGCATCCCATTTAACTACTGCTGGTGGGGTCAGATTCTGGGACCTTGTTCCTTTGGTTTTTCATTTTTAATTTGCTAGTGGGCATGCGTGCTTGCCCGAGAGAGAGAGGAGAGAGAGAGAGGAGAGAGAGAGAGGAAAAGTGAGAAGACACTTCCCTTGGGGGATGGTTATGCCACCCCCCCTTTCTCCTTTTGAGATTTTGGACGCGCGCACACACACACACACACACACACACACACACACTGGCATGTTTTTCAAGCCTCTGGGTCTAGGACTCAAATCATATAGTTGGCCATGCCTTCACTACCACACCACTGGCTGGTCCCCTGGTTTCTTTTAAAAGACCGATGATGTTGGGCCAGCAGGTGGTGTGGTTAAAGGCACTGGACTCCCACATGGCTTACCACGGTTCAAGTCCTGGACCTGGTAGCTTGCTTTCTCACTTTCCCTTTCTCTCTGTCTCTGTCTGGTCAAACTAAAAAATAATAACAAATGGAATTTAATAATAAATAATTCTTTAAAAAAAGAAAAGACTGATGATGTGACTTCATGAGGTCCGTGCAAGGGCTGGAGGAGAGGGAAACGGGTGCGTAGCCGAGTGCTGGCACTGGGTAGGTGTCCAGTGTGTGAGCTGTTCATGCCATCAGCGTTCAGGGGAGGGACAGCGAATACGCCAGGGCAGGTGCAAAGGAGAGGGAGTCAAGGACAGACGATAGCTGACGACAGGAAAGGTTAGGCCGGCGCACTTAGCAGGCTGTGTCACTGCACACTGGTCCCTAACTCGTCCTGTCACCTAGAAGGCCGGCCTCGGGATGAGCAAATGTCACTTCCCAGCAGGGGGAGCAGTTAGATTAGGATGTTTGGGGGTTCTAGCAAGATGTTTGGGGGACCTAGCAAGGTCAAGAGATTGGCCAGGCTGGACTCAGGTCTGGGACCCTGTGGCCTTCACCTTAGTGAGAGACCCTGGCTATGTCTCCCATCTGGGGCCCTTGAAATACTGACTGGGCCTGGCCTGGCCCCAGGAGAAGAGGCCGACCCAGATCTGTGGCCACCGTGCTGGTGGTCTGCCCACCTGCCCCGCTAGCTGTGGTGCTGCTCATCTGTGGGAGAGTCAGTGGACCCCGAGAAGCCACTGTAGCATGGGGTCGGCCCACCTCCTTCAGAATCAGAATGCCCGGAGAGGGGAACAGGAGCTCAGCCCAGAGGTTGCCATGGAGACCCTGCTTTACAGACGAGGATGCGAGACTTGGAAGGGGAGCCATGAGTCAGGGCTGGGTGATTCCATGACCTGAAGTGCTGAGTGTCTCGGGGCATGCCCTTTGATGGCTGTGGTGGGTGGGGGTGCAGAACCCGCGAAGGGGACTCCTCGCGACACCTGCGTACTCCCGCCCTGCAGCACCTCTGGGATTGACCGTAGGCTGGAGTCACCCGTGTGGTTGTCCCTCTGCTCAGCTCCAGAGCCACCTCCAGAGCCACCTCTCTGTTCTGGACTCATTTAAGGGTTCTGTGAGTTTCTGATGGGTGACTACTGTGTGGCCAAACAGAACGGGACTCAGGGAATAGCTGGAAAAGTCCTTTAAACTTTGAGCCATAAAGACTCTTTGAGAATTTCTAGTCCAAACCCTTCCTGGTACAGATAAAGAAACTGAGGCCCAGGGAAGGGAAGACTTGGCCAAGGTCACACAGCAAATGGCTAGTAACAGCATTAGTACCAGCAGGATCTGAGTGGTCAGCTGTACAGGAAAGCCCCCAGCAGTCGGAAGCCAGTCCTTCTTTTTCTTTTTTTGGAAGAATTATTTAATTTAAAATTTATTATTATTTTAAAATTTGACCAGAGAGAGACATACAGAGAGAGAAAGGGAAAGTGAGAAACTAAGCTGCCAGGTCCAGGACTTGAACTGCTGTTGGCCATGTGGGAGTCCACCACCTCAACCACCATGCCACCTGCCGGCCCTAGGAGGCCAGTTCTAAGGAGGAAGTACATCCATCATTTGATTCAGTCATTGTACAGAGACTTACTGGGAAGAGCCTGTGGGTGCCAGGTGCCAGGACACACCTGCCCCAGACCCACCTAGGTGAGAGCTTCCCCTCCCTCCCCATCTCCATCCATATCAGGACCCCCTCTCCACGCACCCCAGCTGGCCTGGGGACAGACAGCAGTGCTTCGTCCTTTGGGTGGCGCAGCAACCTCCAGCCACCCGCGGGAGTCCGGAGTCCTGCTGTCGTTTTGCCCTGCTGCAGCTGTCAGAGCTCAGTCCCTAAGTAGGAGACAGGAGAGGAGGCAGACATACATCCCCGGAAGGCCAGCCTGCGGGGTTAGGGTCCCTGCCCCAGGCAGAACTTCTGCACTGGGGCAGCAGGGGTTCCTCCTCCCTTCCTCACTACCCTGACGCCCAGCAAGGTCTGAGCTGGGCCAGAGGCCTTGGGGACTGTCACCGACAAGTATACTTGGGGAAATACGCCAGGGGGGCCGGGCTTTTGACGTGAGCGCTCGCGGGTGCTGTGCAGACGGGCCTCCTGTAAACCTGCCGCAGCCGCAGGAGCAGCTGTTCTAGTCCTCTAGAGCACCAGGAAACAGGCGCGGGGCAGACCAGCCAGACCAGGCCAGACCAGGCCAGACCAGGCCAGACCAGCCCCTGGGCACAGTGAGTGCCGTGGGGATGGGCTTTGAACCCAGGGCCCAGTTTCACCTGTGCTTCACCTAAGCCCTAGAGATGGGTGCCATGGCCGAGGCCGGCAGGAGGTTTGGGGAGGCAGAGCCACATCCCCTCCCCCAGGCGTTACAAGCCCCATCATGGAACCTAGTCCAGTACCGCATGGTGTCGGGGGCTCCCAGGGGGCCTCCAGGTCCAGGCAGGGTCAAGGGCCTGTCTCCTCCTGAGGAACCTGAGCCTAGACCCTGGTCACGTCTCCACCGCACGCTGCTCTCCATTTCTGCCACTGACAGCTGGTTGCCATGGTGACGTGGCCGCGGCCTCGCAGCCGGGATGAGCAGTTACTGGAGAGCACAGTGCACACTTGCCGCTGGGGCGTGGGGGTGGGAGATCACGAGGTAGGGGGGTGGGCCTCCCTGGGCCGAGGCCCCCCGTGCAAGGTCGTCTCCGAGGTGCTCAGGCTGCCGCGATGTCCCGTCGTCTTTCTGACCTGTACTCACAGAGCCCCACTAAGTACCTGCAGAACTGCTTTCGATCCGCTCTTAGCTAATCCTCGTCATGGTCTTGCAGAAATAGGATTTATTTATTTATTTTCCCTTTGCTATAGTGTGTGTGTGGTCACCGGAGAGAGACAGAGAAAGTGAGGACTGCCCCCGCCCAGGGCATGGCCGCACCACAGTCTCTTCTCCATTCTCGTCTCAGGACTTGGGGCATGCACGCACACATGCTTGGCCTGTTTTTCAGGCCGCCAGGTCTGGAATTTGAACTGTGGAGACGGCCATGTAGTATCCAGCCACTCCAACCACCATGCACTGGCTGGCCCAGAATAGGATTTACTGTCCTCGTTTACAGGTGAGGACATTGAAGCCTAAAGAGGCAGATTGACCTCCCACCAGCAAGTGACAGAGCAGTTTTCGGCCCGAGGCTGCTGACTACATAGGCTCTTGCTGACCCCGGAGCAGCCATTCGCTGCCCGGACCACTGCTGGCCCAGGCAGGGTCTGGATCGGCAGTGACACACAGGCAACCCTCTAGACACACGAGCCTCCATGTGGCCTCCGCATTCCAGGCTGTGCTCTGTCCTCACAGCCACCTTCTGGGCCAAGGTCAGCCCTTTGTCCCTTCAAGATTCGGTTACTGCAGGATGGCCGGCCTCCCTCTCCGCCCTGCCCCTAGGGCCATCCCCTGCTACCCCTCTCACCGTGTGGCCTTCAGCAAGTCACTTCGCCTTTCTGCGTCTCAGTTGCTCACCTGTTCCTTGAAGCCCAATGTGGTCTGGCTGTTTCTCCACGTCATGCTTCAGCAGATAGGGCCAGCCTGGCTCACCCCCCTGCGCCCCTCCCCACCTGGGCCCCCCAAGCTGCCCGGAGCAAAGCATCTGAGCCTTCTCCGTTTGGCAGACAAACGCCTTTTGTCCTGTCTCATTCTGCTCTTGCCAGAATGGCTTTATTTCCTCTCACACTTGAAAAATATTGCGTTTCACAGCTCTGTGTCAGCAACAAAGCAACCCGGCTGCCTGAGAGCAAGCAGGGAGCCGGCACACCAAGGAATTTACTCGCTGCCATTGGCCATTGCCCTGGGAGCTGGGGCCCTGGGGCTGTGAGCCTGCGGGTGTTCTGGGCAGCAAATGGCCACTCACCTGCACAGTCCAAGGGCCTGGGGACATTCTCGGCTGCTCTGGACGACAGAGGCAGGCAGCCTGGGGACATTCTCGGCTGCTCTGGACGACAGAGGCAGGCAGGAGCCTTATGAACCGGGGGTGGGGGTGGGGTGGGGGAGGAGTTGCACAGGTCTCAGTTCTTGGGTGCTTGGGTGACCACGGGCTTAGCCCCAGGGAGCCGAAGCTCGCAGACTGCGCCCACCTGCACAGTAATAGTATTGGTTGAGGGGGGCCAGCAGGCAGTGTGGTGGTTAAGGCTGGACTCTCATATAGATGACCACGGTTCAAGTCCCAGGCCTGGCGGTTTGAAAATCATGCTGAGTACATGTGTGCATGCCCAGAATCCCGAGAGGACAATGCAGGAGAAGGGATTGTGGCGCGGCCATCCCCTTGAGGGGTAATTTCTTGCTTTCCCTCTCTCTGGCAAGCTCATGCGCCCTATGACAGAAACCTAAATAATGACAGACAAATGAAGTGTTGGGGACCAGAAGTGTCATTTTTTTGAATATGTGCTTATACGTATTGAGCTGCTCAGGGAGGGGATGGATGTCTAAACAGGGAGTTCGTCTGCGTCTCTCATGTACCCTCCACACACGGCCC